GTGTGTGAGAGAGAGAGAGAGAGAGAGTGTGTGTGTGTATGTGAGTGAGAGAGCGTGTGTGTGAGAGAGTGTGTGTGTTACTCACTGGCTGACATGGACATGAGTGCTTGGATGGGTCTCCAGGCCATCATACACACCATCATGATGGGGAAGATGGAGATGGTGTTTCCAGACATGTACATGATGAAGAGGTTCATGGGAATCTGCTTCAGCGGACCCAGCGCCACGTCCCAGCACCTCTACACACACACACACACACACACACACACACACACAGTCAGAGCACTTTACATTAAACAAATGCACTTATATTTAATTCCAGTAACATTTTTTATTCTTTAATATGTTGAAGGGATTTTTTTTCCTGTACTGGACAATATTCACCTCCAAATTACAAACCATTTATTTACATTCATTTTATTATTCTATTCAATAATACAAATATTTGAAAAAGTAGTACTTAATATGAAATAAAAATAGCCATTTTTAATTATTATTTAAAATCCAATGCATGGAAAGCAAATTAATGTCATCAGATGGGAGAAATAAAGAAAAAGAAAAAAATATATATATTAAAACAGCCTTTATGTAGTCTCCCAAATCTCCGTCACATCTATGAAGCACGAGTATTTCCCTCGTCTAAGATATAAAGCACCTTCTTCTGACGTCTGGCCTCTATAACGAGACGCTTCTGAACACATTCTGTGAGGATCTATGTTTCAGGTGTTGTCTGTAATGCTGGATGCTGATCTTAGAAATACTTGCTGTTTTTCTACAAAGCTGTGATGGTAGTTTTTGAAGCACTGCGACTGTTTTTGTGAATGTTCGTGAAATAGTGATTACATTGTGCGCTCCACGTGATTGCGATGTTTCATTAACTTTTTTATATGAAGAGATATGATATATTGGTCGGAACCGAGTTCAGTGTATTGCTCCGGCCCTCCGCCTTTAACTAGAATAACCCAGATTTGCTCCATTCTGACGAAGTGCTGAGAGAGTTGGTGTAGTACTTCAGAGGTCAGAGCGTCACCTTCTCCACCAGGTTGCGGTCGGCCTCCTGCACGCTGGTGTCCGGGACCGGTTTATCCGAGTATCCCACCGGATACATGACGTCTCCGTCCTTGCTCTGCCTGTCGCCGCGGTTCCTGCGGAGAAGCACAGAGAAGCCCGTCAGCGCTGCTTGCTGACGAGGTTACCGAGGCCGGACGTGATGCAGCACCTGCTGTTGCCCAGGCTCAGCTCCAGAGACCACTTCATCCTCTTGACCGTGGCTCCGCCCCTCGCTGCCAGAGCCCCGCCCCCCGGTGACGTCATCGCGCCTCAGTGCAGCTGCACACAAACACATCAGAAGACAAACAGTCTCTTTAACCAAATTCCACCAGCAGGTGCTTTTAGCCTGGAATATCTGCTACTAGCACAATGTCTCTCCTCACACCTCCTTCATTTGGAATAACGCCAATATAACGACTGCCAATAAATCTCTATTTTGAAGGAATTGGTTTAACAGGGATATGAATCATCTTATGCATATGTTCGATAATTATGGGAATCTTTTAACTTATTAACAATTCATGCAAATCCAGTTTCCGTGTGCATTTTAAGGAATGTAATTGGGTCACTAAAGCTATTCCTCCAACTCTCGTTCATCTCGTTAAAAGTCACATTCACTATAACTCTACAATAATGACAAAACCAAAATTAATTAAAATGCAATAAACATATTTGCACTGTTTTCCAAAAACACCTAGAGGGAAATTCTTTTTATTGATCATATTAATTGGAAGAATGATTGATTTAACAGGGTATTAAAATGTGTTTCTGTAGTTTTGTTATTGATACAATATTTAAAGGGGGTTACACATTTTAATACCCTGTTAAATCAATAATTTCAAGACACTCTGCTATTGATGATTTATGCTCCTTTTGTAAACATGAGAAAGAGGTGTTATCACATGTATCGTTAGATTGTAAAATTACCCAAAACTTTTGGAAGGGATCGGCAGAATTGATTTTCAATCTAGTAAAGGATAAACACGTTTTTTCTTCAGAGGATATCATTGTGCACTATGAAAACAACGCTGACAAAGGTCTCGAATACATTGTTAATGCATTCCTATTGCTGGCAACATTTCATATACGTATATTCTTCCCCAATGTTTAAGGTATTGTTAGTGGAATTTGATTGTTTTATATCGTCTCAAACAAATGACTGATGAATGCCACACTGTGTATAGCACGGGTTGTCTTGTGCGATGCTCTGTCTGTTATTTCTTCTATTTTCATTAAAAAGCAACACATCAGGAGGCTTTAACATGGAGTTACTGTGACACGAAGAGTCCTCAAATCCACACCGCGGCTTCCTGAGACCCCTCAGTCGTGTGCTGATGTCTTTCAGTCGAGATAAACTCAGTTCATGTGCTATCTGAAAACCTGCACACTTTAAACGAGGAGGAAACACTGAATAAATCAAGCTATTTTCATGCATTCAATAACCACACGTGCTGAAACAGAGTCTGATGACACTAACACACATCAAGGGGCCCCAAACCTGTCATAAACTGATGTTTCACGATGTTAATTAATTAGACATGCTTATTGATTCATAACTTTTAATAAATAATTGTAACAATCTAATAAATGACTAAATAAAATACATACATTTAACCATTAAAAATGAGTCCAGGAAAAAAATTAAAACGGAATTTGGGGGAGTAATAAAAAAAATCAAATAAGAACAACGCTCGATGATTATTTTTGCGTGACATTATAATGTTCATCCATAAATAATGTATTTTAGGTTGACATTTTTGATGCCCATCATCTATAGTGCATATAGCAGTCAGCTATGGACACCCAATAAACATTAATTAATAACATTTTATTTATGTATTTTGTTGTTTCAATAATTCCTCTCTTAAACTAAATATTTATTTTAAATGGTAAAACATAACATACCTGCTATTATAATTGCCCATAATTATTATTATTTTTATAAGTTTGATTATTTTGATGCCCATCAAAAGGAATACAACACGACAAAACACACATGAGGATAGTTTGTTTTTATAAAATTAAACATTTACATCTGTAAACATACATAAACATAGACAGCACTCTGTTAAAAATATTTTAAAAAACGAACTATTCAAAGAGACGTATTTTCCTGCTGTCCTGCAGTGTGATATGTGTTATTTGCAGAGAGACAGACCACAGAGCAAGACATGGGTCACAGACACGCTAGAACACACACCTCATTACAACTCTACATGACATCTAATATAGTACTTATGCATCAAACCATTTAATGAACAAATATGTAATTACAGAAGGGAATAATGTAATAATTTTTTTAATTATTACAGAAATAGATGTGTAAACATATTATTCATTAAACATACAATTAGATTTAAAGGGTTAGTTCACTCGAAAATGAAAATTAGGCTGCGTTTTACTCACCCCCGAGGCATCCTAGGTGTATATGACTTTCTTCTTTCAGACAAATCCAGTCGGAGTTATATTAAAAATTGTCTTTGATCTTTCAAGCTGTTTAATGGCACTCAGCGGGTGTTGCATGCATCAGTCCAAAAGAAGTTAAATAAAAATCACCCATCCTTAAAACAAAAACTGTCTCACATGGCTCCGGGGGGTGAAGAAAGGTCTTCTGTAGCAAATCGATGCGTTTTTGTAAGAAAAATATCCATATTCAAAACGTAATAATCACTTTATTCTAGCTTGCGCTCACTGTTGTAAAACGGAAGCAGTTCCGGGGGCACCACGAGCCAGCTCCCAGAAGAATGTAACACTTCTAGTAGCATGAGCTTGCAACCTGAGCGGGCAGGGCACACCCTGTGCCTGATAAGCCAGGGTGATGGCATCCAATATGCAGTGGGCCATCCTCTGCTTAGAGATGGCCTTCCCCTTCTGCCGGCCTCCGTAACTGACAAAGAGCTGGTCTGAGGTCTTAAAGCTTTGTGTCCTGTCTACATACAATCGTCAGTAGGACTGCGATCTCCGCAAGATTGTCGCTAAGCCTTGAAACGTTATCCTTTTTAATGACCTTTGCACTTAGAGATATGGATTTGTTCACAATACCCCTCTGTGTGTATATATATATATATATATGTAGTTCTTTTTTTGTTGTTGTTGTTGATTTATTTAGTTTTTTCTAGGGGTGGGTTTAGTCTTCCTTAATTTGCATAATTTTTTTTACAGTCATTGTTTCTTTGACTTTATTGAAATGTTTGCTTTTATTGTAAATTTGCATGTGAATTGTTACTAAATAAAGCATTTAAAAACAAAAACAAAAAGCATATGACCCCAGGAGCCCTTCTTCTTCTTCTGGTTTTATGGCGGGTTGCGAGCCAACTTCACAGCTGCACACCGCCACCTACTGTGATGGAGAGAGAAGAGAATGCAGCAGTTCTCACCTACATCTTATATTCTGTTCATTATTCCACAGTTCTTAAGAAATCTCATGGTTGCATTATTTGTTCTCCTGCATTTGGACCATCATTCAGAATACTACTAAATGAAAATGCTTGTAATTCATCTTTACATGGATCCCTTTCTCTTTCATATGCTGTGCATATCATCATAACGTGCTCCTCTGATTCCTCTGTTAAACACACATCACATAGACCAGTGTCATGCTTCCCTATAATGTAGTGTTTGGTTAAGATGTGAATGTCCTGTTCGTAATGACTTGTTCCCTTCTACTTATGTTATGAATGATTTTTCTTTTCTTTATGCTCCTTTGTACTTTATGATAATGCCTACCTGTTAGACACGAGTCCCAGTATATCTGCCATACAATATTGCATGCATTTAATATTAACTGCTTCCCTTCTATTCTGCTGAGTGCAATATTTATACTTGGATCATCCATATTTATCTACCTCTTCATCACCTTGAATTCCCACATGTGCAGGAACCCATATAAACCCAGTAAGTATCCCTATCTGTTTAATACTATATAGTGTAGTCATGATTTCTGTTCAAATGTCTTTTCTATTTGATTGCCATGATCGTAAACTCATAAGAGCTGCCATTGAGTCAGAGCCTATTATTACTTTATATATACCCACTCTAATGCCGTAAGGATAGCTAGCATCTCTGCTGTATATACAGAAGTACCATCCGTGATTCTTCCAGCCTTCCTAACCTGACATTCTGGAATGAGAAATGCAGCACCTGTCCTTCCAGTTTCTATGTTCTTTGATCCATCGGTGTAAATTTGGAGAAATTAATAATGCATACTTTTTATATATTCTTTAACGTACGCTTCTAAATGAAACCCCTCCCCCATTCCCGTAATTTCTTTATGTACGTTTAAGTCAACTTCTGGTTGTTCTAATAACCAAGGCGCTATTGGAGGAGGCCAGCGAGCCCTGAAGTAAATAAGGGCTAATGAATACAAGTTTTTTTTATCTCAATTTATTTATTTATTTTTTGTTCCCTAAGAATATATTTATTTTTAAATGACAAAATTAAATACACTGAATTTCTGTTTAGATGTTATTAAAACACATTACTATTAAACTTTTTATTATTACTATTACTACCTAAATTTGAGTTATTTAAGCATTTATGATTTTACTAGACCAAAACATTGTTATTAATAAAAAAAATCAAATAAGAACAACGCTCGATGATTATTTTTGCGTGACATTATAATGTTCATCCATAAATAATGTATTTTAGGTTGACATTTTTGATGCCCATCATCTATAGTGCATATAGCAGTCAGCTATGGACACCCAATAAACATTAATTAATAACATTTTATTTATGTATTTTGTTGTTTCAATAATCCCTCTCTTAAACTAAATATTTATTTTAAATGGTAAAACATAACATACCTGCTATTATAATTGCCCATAATTATTATTATTTTTATAAGTTTGATTATTTTGATGCCCATCAAAAGGAATACAACACGACAAAACACACATGAGGATAGTTTGTTTTTATAAAATTAAACATTTACATCTGTAAACATACATAAACATAGACAGCACTCTGTTAAAAATATTTTAAAAAACGAACTATTCAAAGAGACGTATTTTCCTGCTGTCCTGCAGTGTGATATGTGTTATTTGCAGAGAGACAGACCACAGAGCAAGACATGGGTCACAGACACGCTAGAACACACACCTCATTACAACTCTACATGACATCTAATATAGTACTTATGCATCAAACCATTTAATGAACAAATATGTAATTACAGAAGGGAATAATGTAATAATTTTTTTAATTATTACAGAAATAGATGTGTAAACATATTATTCATTAAACATACAATTAGATTTAAAGGGTTAGTTCACTCG